CCTTGAATGGGAACCGTCTGCAGTCCTGAGAAGTAAAGGCGGCTGGTGTGATGCTGACCACAACACCCATCTTGTGCCGATTAGTCTATAAAAAAATAAATCTAGCCCTATATGCCCTATACACCTAAAGGCGTGGAAATGAGTCCTTTACTTTTACTTGTTACATGTTTCCTGTATACTCCTACTGATATGAGTCGAGGACCATCTGGCAACAGTTGAGGAAGCAGACAGGGGCTTTTGACCTAAAATGTTATAGTAAGATTCCTAGAATTCGATAGACTATGAAGAGCAGAAATACTTAGTTCCTGAAAAAGCTGAATTAGCTTTTAACAAAACTGAAATACTGTGAATCGCCTAAAAGGATTGGACAGACAGGTAGCAGAGTGTGTAGTGATGATGACCTGTGAAAGGAGTTGAGAGATCTAACAAATGTATGGAAACCAGTAAATGAAGTTGTACATGGAATAATGTTTAGAAAGTGTATAATTTGGAAAGAAACCAAGAAACGGAAATTATTTAGTAGATTCCTTAATTATGCATGAAACAAGTACAAAAAATGTGGGCATGAGAAGGCTATGTAGACAGTATGTAAGCTGGAGACCAACACCACGAGGTACACGAACCGCTTGTATCCGTGTGGGGCAGTCAACCAAACAGGCGAGCAATAAACGAGTGTTGGAGCAGCAGTGTGAGGGAGTCAACCAAACAGGCGAGCAATAAGCGAATGTTGGAGCAGCTGTCTGGGAAAGTCAACCAAACAGGTGAGCAATAAGCGAGTGTTGGAGCAGCTGTGTGGGGAAGTCAACCAAACAGGCAAGCAATAAGCAAGTGTTGGAGCAGCAGTAAGGGGGAAGTCAACCAAAACCAAACAGGTGAGCAATAAGCGAGTGTTGGAGCAGCTGTGTGGGGGAGTCAACCAAACAGGTGAGCAATAAGCGAGTGTTGGAGCAGCTGTGTGGGGAAGTCAACCAAACAGGCGAGCAATAAGCGAGTGTTGGAGCAGCTGTGTGGGGGAGTCAACCAAACAGGCGAGCAATAAGCGAGTGTTGGAGCAGCAGTGTGGGGGAGTCAACCAAACAGGCGAGCAATAAGCGAGTGTTGGAGCAGCTGTGTGGGGGAGTCAACCAAACAGGTGAGCAATAAGCGAGTGTTGGAGCAGCAGTAAGGGGGGAGTCAACCAAACAGGCGAGCAATAAGCGAGTGTTGGAGCAGCTGTGTGGGGGAGTCAACCAAACAGGTGAGAAATAAGCGAGTGTTGGAGCAGCTGTGTGGGGGAGTCAACCAAACAGGTGAGAAATGAGCGAGTGTTGGAGCAGCTGTGTGGGGGAGTCAACCAAACAGGTGAGAAATGAGCGAGTGTTGGAGCAGCTGTGTGGGGAAGTCAACCAAACAGGTGAGAAATAAGCGAGTGTTGGAGCAGCTGTGTGGGGGAGTCAACCAAACAGGCGAGCAATAAGCGAGTGTTGGAGCAGCTGTGTGGGGGAGTCAACCAAACAGGTGAGCAATAAGTGAGTGTTGGAGCAGCTGTGTGGGGGAGTCAACCAAACAGGTGAGCAATAAGCGAGTGTTGGAGCAGCAGTATGGGGGAGTCAACCAAACAGGTGAGCAATAAGCGAGTGTTGGAGCAGCAGTAGGGGGGAGTCAACCAAACAGGTGAGCAATAAGCGAGTGTTGGAGCAGCTGTGTGGGGGAGTCAACCAAACAGGTGAGAAATGAGCGAGTGTTGGAGCAGCTGTGTGGGGGAGTCAACCAAACAGGTGAACGATAAGCGAGTGTTGGAGCAGCTGTGTGGGGGAGTCAACCAAACAGGTGAGCGATAAGCGAGTGTTGGAGCAGCTGTATGGGGGAGTCAACCAAACAGGTGAGCAATAAGCGAGTGTTGGAGCATCACTTTAGCCAACTTCCATTGTGGAAACAGCAGCTGAAAAATTAATTGATAGTTGTTAAATCGCCCCTTTCTCCACTTTCTGTTGTGAACATCACCACACATCAGGTGTCACGTGATCAATATGTCTTACATTTGGCATCTAGTTACATTTTTGCTAATTGAATTTATTCCTGTCAGGTGAGAAATGGTACCTTGTAGATTGCAATGAAAAAGAAGATTGTAGTAATGGTGATGATGATGACGATGATGACGATAGTGGTGATGATTATGATGACAATGATGATGACTTTGGTAGTGACGATGATCATAGGGGTGGTGTTGATCATATTACTGATGATAATGACAACTATGCTGGTGACGTTAATGATGGTAACTGTAGTGATAATGGTGGCTTGTTGGTAATGGTGACCGTGATAAGAATAATGGCGATGATAATGGAGACGATAACGATGATGTCGTTATAGAAGCTTTGACTGTCGACAGTATTCCTGTAATATCATCGTCAGTTTAAGAGACAAATTCAATAGCTGTGTACAAGATAATGAGTCACCTGTTGAATTCACTGGTATGGTCAAGTTCTTGGTTCCATCGCCATACACCAGCACCAGTGGA